AACATGAAAGCTTTGATCTATCTTGCCTTGTATCAGTGGTTCGGGCTGGTGGTGGTGATATTTTCTTGACACTAGCAAGGTGTACCTAAAAAAGTGACCAGAGAGTGTGTGTGTAATATATATTTATTACACACAAACACACACACACTGTTCAAGTCAAACCAGGACTAGTTTTATAGGTGTAAAAAAGGATGCTAGCGTGGCAGTACTATATACAAGTGTGTCCCATTACTGATAGGCGGCACACATGTTGTGGGCCAGTCCAGAGACTATTAATTAAGATGGCATTCAACAGTGTTAGTGTGTGAATGGAACAGAGTGTGGTGATGAAGATTCTTGTTGATAATGGCGTAAAACCCGTGGATATCTACAAAAGACTTCAAGCACAGTACGGTGATTAGACACTCAGCTATAATAAGACATTCGAATGGTGTAAACGTTTTTAGTACATCCGTCAGCGACAATCCTGGCCGTGGTGGTTCCCAGCCCACAGCAGTCATTTTTGTGAACATTCAGCGTGTGAAACGCTTGATCCTAGATAATCGACACATAACCTGTTGTGAAATTGCACAAGAAACTAATCTTTCTCCAGAACAAAGCACAAGCTCATACTGTTCACCGCACTACGTGCGTATTACAGCAACTCGGGTGGGAGGTATTTTCACCAAAAAGAGTTCCTCGGAGGTCAGCCTTTTTTTTAGCACTGATGACAAAGTGAAGCAGGCTGGCCTAGGATGGTTCAGACGTACTGAAAAATCTTCTATGCCGAAGCTTTCCAGGTATTAAACACTGGGATAAGTGTATAAATGTAGCAGGGGAGTATGTTGAAAAATAAATGTAGTTTCCACTTCTTGAAGTGTGAAGTAACCCACCCCCAACATTACTCTCTTATAAGTATGTACATTGCTTTGTATGAATCATTAGTAAATGTATGTAGTAACCTGTGTTCACAGCGGGAATTCCAAAATTGTCTCATGCATTCATGTATATAATGTAAAATAATCGGCATGCAAAAGATTCAAATGTAAACTTACACCGCATGTAGCAACTTTCTTAAAATGCAAGCAAGACAGAAAAAAAAAATGTTCTCCATAAATGACTACACTTTAGTGTTTGCTACACATACTGCATATTCTAATAAATATTTCCAAGCCAGCCATAAGAGTTAACTTCATGTACAGCACCCTCTAGTGTCAAAGGCTGAAAAAAAGGGGTACTAATGGCCAATATTCTCCTACAGGATGTGTAATCACTGAAACTCAGAATTAAAATAACTATTCATATATACAGCCATTTTCATGGGGAAGGTCTGCATTGTCATTTACCTGTTTAGTGCCATGGTCACTGTAGCACCTTGCGCCATGTCATGTGATGCAGCAACAGCAGCTTCAGCTAGGGAAGCAACAGCTTGAGTCGCTTCAGATGCTTGCGTCGTCTGGATGGTCATCTCACCACCTTGAAGCGTTGCCCAGTTTTGTTCTACCTGACAGAATAAATAAATGTTGCATATTTCACTATACAGTACATCTAGCATTTCATATATTACACAATATCAGCACTATTGTTTACATTTAAAACAATACTGCTATATGACCTAAGGTGCTCATTTCAGGTACAGATCATAATATAAAAGGTTGTGATAAGCGTGTCTTTAACTGCCCAGAACAGTTCTGACACGTGAGCAACATGTTGACATTTCAGCTTCTGCAGAAACACGCATGCATGCACACACACACACACACACAAACAATAGTGCATGTCTTACCTCACCATCACTGACTGTAGAATAATTAACTTGTGCAACAGTTACTGTAGTTGGTAGCTCAGAAGCATCTGCCAATGTGGCAACAGTAGCACCTGTGCCAACCTGGGAGGAAAGAACAGGATAGATACATTATGTAGATATATAAATAGCAGAAGCGCATAATACTATGTTGGAGCCACAGCTCTACAGCCATCTTTGATGAGCTCTGTGCCATGGTCCCTTCAGAAATATGGATGCTGTTTGCACACAGATATTAGGTATAATATTATGGCCCTCTAAACAGCAATAGATAGGCTCCAGTAACATGGAAACATTAGCACGTGGTTCATTGAAGATGACTGTACCATTATGGATAAGCAGTATTGCTTCAGAAATATGGGGTGAGTGTTCCAAAGGAAGAATGTGATATACCTGTGTTAAGACAAGACAGCATTGTTCTCTAGTTTTTTTCATGTTGCTAATAAAATGTGCAGTCTGTGCTTACAACCACATATTTACAAGAACATAAATCTGTCATGTTCTTAAGATAATGGACCTTATATCAGTCAGATGAGTTAAAGCTGAAGCTTATTTTTTTTTCTTGGGATACAGCACCATACACAAGTTATGTGTAATTGCTTGTATCCCCAAATTTTCAGATGACACCAAGCTATGTAGTGGAATGCTGTCCTTACAGAATGTCTCCAACTTTCAAACTAACCATAATGCACTGTTCAATTAAGCAACGATGTTAATAAATGTAACGATACGCACTTGGGGGCTTAAAACATGAGAGAGGAGAGAGACGATTAGGAGGGACAGAATCACATGTATAAATACATAAGTGGACCATATAGTGAACTTTGTGCAAAGTTATTCACTTTAACTAGTTGCCAACCGCAGATAGCTGAATGACGGCTACACTGCGGCTGGCCAGTTCTGGGAGGGAGTCATATGACGTCCTCCCAGAATGCACTCTCCTGCGCGTCTCCGGGGGCGCGCACCCAGTGATTACATTACATTGAGTTTATATAGCGCCAAAGGGTTTGCTCAGCGCTGTACAATAGAGGGGGGGACAATACATGAAACATTACAGCAACTACAAACAGCACACGAGGGGTTATAGGGCCCTACTCTTTCGAGCTTACAATCTAGGAGGGAGGGGGTAGTGGTACAGGAGGAAGTGGCTGTGGGGATGGAGTGGTAGGAGGAATGAAGGAGAGCAGCAGTTAGGTGAGGGTGGGGTAGGCTTCCCTGAAGAGGTGGGTTTTCAGGGAGCGCCTGAAGGTGAGGAGGGAAGGTGACAGTCTGATGGATTGGTGACAGTCTGATGGACAGTGATCTCCATGATCACGTGATGTGGTAAAAGGCCAATCACAGCGGCCTTTTACCACGTGATCAGCCGTGTCCAATGACACGCTGATCACAGGGAAATGCAATTGCCGTTTCTCGGCTGCACTTTCCTCACGCTGTCAGATTGTGAGGAAAGTACTGCCAAGAACCGGCAGTTGTCAGAGCAGGGATCGGCACTGATGATCAGTGCCCTGATGATCGGTGCCCAGCAGTGCCACCCACCAGTTCCGCCCACTTGTGCCCAGCAGTGCCCACCAGTGCCTCCCAGCACTGCTCACCAGTGCCCACACACCTGTGCCCAGCAGTGCCACACACCTGTGCCCAGCAGTGCCACACACCTGTGCCCAGCAGTGCCACCCACCTGTGCCACCCACCTGTGCCCAGCAGTGCCACCCACCTGTGCCCAGCAGTGCCCGCCAGTCAGTGGCGCCAGTCAGTGGCGCCAGTCAGTGGCGCCAGTCAGTGGCGCCAGTCAGTGGCGCCAGTCAGTGGCGCCAGTCAGTGGCGCCAGTCAGTGCCCAGCAGTGCCGCCAGTCAGTGCCCAGCAGTGCCGCCAGTCAGTGCCCAGCAGTGCCGCCAGTCAGTGCCCAGCAGTGCCGCCAGTCAGTGCCCAGCAGTGCCGCCAGTCAGTGCCCAGCAGTGCCGCCAGTCAGTGCCCAGCAGTGCCGCCAGTCAATGCCCAGCAGTGCCGCCAGTCAATGCCCAGCAGTGCCGCCAGTCAGTGCCCAGCAGTGCCGCCAGTCAGTGCCCAGCAGTGATGCTAGTCAGTGCCACCTATCAGTGCTGTCTATCAGTACCCATCATCAGTGCCGCCTATCAGTGCCCATCAGTGCCGCCTCATCAACGCACATCAGTGAAGGAGAAAAATTACCTGTTTGCAAAATTTTATAATAGAAACAAAGAAACTTTTTTTTTTTTTCAAATTTTTTGCACTTTGTGTTTATAGCGCAAAAAGTGAAACACCCAGCGGCGATTAAATACCACCAAAAGAAAGCTCTATTTGTGAGAAAAAAATGATAAAAATGTCATATGGTTACAATCTTGCATAACCGCGCAATTGTCAAAGTGCGACAGTGCTGAAAGCTGAAAATTGGCCTGGTAAAGAAGGGGATATAAGTGTCCGGTAGGCAAATGGTTAAAGGTCATGACAGGGGAAAGGTGTCACACTTAACATCTGAGAAAGAGACTTAACTTCCACATACGGAAAAACTTGTGGATTGGACTCCCTGAGGAACTAGTCCTGGACAGTGTATTAAACAGTTTTGAAAGAGAGCTGGAAGCATTCCTAAATGCATAATATAACTGGACATTAACATTTATAGGTAATAATGCCAGAGGTTGTTGATCCAGGGAATATCCAATTGCGCTCGAGGATTAGAAGGGTTTTTTTTCCCTGCCACTGAAAATGGACCATGCTTAGAAGGGGTTTTTTTTTTTTTTTACACCCTCTGCATCAACTGTGGGTATCGGCTTCAGTATATGGCAGTATTCTATTTCCATTGGTTCAACCTATGTAAAAGGCAGGCTTTTGCTTGTGCTAGAAATCTTCCCAGCACCCTCTAACATAAAATGCGTCTCTTACAAGTTAACTCCAGTTACTGCTACAGAGGAAAGCTGGGCCACCTGTCCCTTTCTGCCCTCTCTACCATTCACAGAATTTGTATTACTACACTCTCACAATGCATCACATTTTGTGAACAGGCAGTGGAATCCAATCAGTCATTCAACCGCTCTGCTGCATATTCCGTCCAGAATCAACCTAATAAAAATAGGATACTGCTAAATTTACACCAACATTAGATTATGTGCATCGACAACAAACCTGAATAAGAGACACTGTGCCATCTGGGTTGCTGATAGTCTGCACCACAGTCTGTGATGGCACGAGGTGAGCAATGCCATGTGTTGTTGCCACCTGTTGTGTCTGCTGATCCTCAAATGCATATAACAGATCTTCCCGTCCATGCTGTTTGTAACAGTTCTTTACTATCGTTCTTAATGCTTGTGTCCAAGAAACCTGAAAAAAAGAGAAAAAAAGTCCCGTTCTAATCATTATAATCACTGACCAATGTTAAATCAATTTTTCAGCATCTGATGTCTAGCATATTAGAGATATAGAATATACACACACACACACTTGCTGCAACTGCTTAAAATGACTGTGGCTTGATGAAAAGAAGTAATTTTGACTTGCCTATTAATTCCATATTTTGGAGTATAGTACAGGACACAGGCTGGATATTTAAAGACCCTGGTTTACATGTGATTGGACACTGGACCTGTGAAGTACAGATAAACTATGATAGCTCTAACCATGTCCAGACAGTGGAGAGCAACTTCTTTGTGGTGCTAAGAAGCAGGGCATAAAGAAAGAAAGATAATGGGGTTGATTTACTAAAGGCAAAGAGTCTGTGCACTACAAGTGCAGTTGCGCGTGCAGTTGCGCTTGATCTGAGGGGAAGCTCTGCTGGTTTCTATCATTCAATCATGTGCAAGCAAAAATGCTGTTTTTTTTTTATTTTCCTTGCATGTTCCCCTCAGATCTAGAGCAACTGCACTTGCAGTGCACAGACTATTTGCCTTTAGTAAACCAACCCCAATGTATTTCTTGAGGTGGAGGGCTAATACCATCTTGGACGCAAAACCACCTTATCTTTGTGAATAAGGAAAGGTACCTTACAAGAGAGATGCTAACTCAGAAATATGTCTAACAGATGCAACAGCCACCAAGAAGGCTACTTTGCAGGAGCAATCAGCCAAGGGGAGCTTCCCAATGGGTTCAAAGGTTGGTTTCTGCAGGGCAGAGAGAACCAAGATCTCAAGAAAACACATGGTGTTGTAAAGGAGGTTGGGGGGGTTATGATCTTTGAGACACCTTGAATAAAAGGTTTACACACAGGAAACAAAGCCAGAGGATTCTGAAAGTACAAGGCTGAAACCTGTCCCTTATAAGTACTTAGCTAAAATCTGGTCATGTCCGGATTGTAGGAATGTCAGAATGCGAGATATAGAGCAATCTCTGGAGGTCATATGCCTGTGTTCACACTAGTCAAAAAAAGATTCCCAGGTATAATAGATATTTTTTATAGTTGCTTTTCTGACTTTGAAAAACGTGGCAATAGCAGAGTCAGATACCCCTTTCCTTAAAGACCTGGTTTTCAAACAGCTACACCATTAAAGCAAGTGACTGAGTAGCAAGATGGAACAAGGGACCTTGAGACAGCAGGTCAGGCTCACTTGGAAAAGGTCAGGGATTGTGTCCTAAAAGTTTGAGTATGTCTGTGTACCAGGTTCTTCTGAGCCAGTTTGGTGCAATGAAAAATGACTGGTTTCCTCTCTTCCTCTCTTGTGCGGAGCAGGGAAGGAAGAATCTGCACTGAAGGAAGGCATACAATAACCTGAACAGGGTCCAGAGAATTACCAAAGCATCTAACGCATGTACTGGAGGATCCTTGGTCCTGACCACAAACGTGTTATTTTGTTCTGGAACCTGGAGGCCAGAATGTTCACATCAGGAAATTCTCTATAGTTGACATTGAATATGTTGGCATGTAGGAACCATCTGGGTCGGGTTGCCAGGAGGAGGATTGGGGCTGCTCTCTGTAAAACCACTGCACAGAGCAGTAAGTATGACCTTTATTATTTAAAAAAAAATTCCTTTAGAATCACTTTTAAGATCCAAGCATGAGATCTCAGAGAAATAAAAATTTGTTTCTGGAAGGAAAACATTTACCTGGGCTTTGTTTAGGATGTGGCTGAAGAGTTTTGAAAGATGATTACCCAGCCAAAATCCTGAAGAATCTGAATAGTCTTTTGGACATTTGCAGATAGTTGTGAGAAGAAGGCGGCTGTCTAGGTACTCTGTGACCTGGATACCCTAAATTCTTAAGAGGGAGTAGGGGTGCAATACTGGTAAATACCAAAAAATTTGAAGTGTTTGTTTCCTACTGCAAAGTGCAGAAAGCACTGATGAGGTGGGTAAATGGGGCTATGCATCCTGAATGTCTACTGACTGTTCCTATTATTTCAGAGAGGCAAAAACCGACCTTGTGGATTCCATGTGAAACTTTGGAAAGTGAAAATGCTAGTTTAGGGATTTTATGTTCAAAATAAGACAAATACCCTTATCTGATTTTGGTACCACAAACAGGTTTGAAAAGAATCGTTTGAAACCATCCTACAGAGAAACCAGAACAACCATTTCCTGGGACTCAAGATGGTTCAGGGCCATCTGCAAATCAGACTGTCCTCAGGCAGAAGAAAAATGATGACAGGGTAGAGACTGAAACCATTTTGTATACCTCTGAAACCACCAATTGAACCTATAGGTCTGGGATATCAGTGACCCAGAGGAATTCAAACTCTAACAGATGTATTCCCACTTTTAGGAATGAGGGCGCCCTTTGACTGTGAAGGAGGCTGTGGGGAAGACCTGGGTTAAATTTTGGCTTTGAAGATGAAGCCTGTAGACAGTAATGGGGCGCTCTTAGCTTTGAGGAGGTAGAAGCCCCCGGGGAGAAGGGATGTGTGCAGCCTTCCATTGTGGAAAAATGACCTTTGACATCCTTTATGAACTTGTTAAATGCATTACCAGAAAGACGTCCTCCTTCAAAAGACATTGGAGTAAGGTGTCCTTTACAGGCAGCTGACCATGCTTTCAGCCATTATATTCTGCGCATATATTTATTACAGGTGTTATATAGCACTGTTCATTTACAGAGTGCTTTACATATATATTGTACATTCACATCAGTCCCTGCCCTCAGGGATCTTACAATCTTAAGCCCCTAACTCATATTCACACATACGCAGTATGATTGCATCATGATCTGTTCTAGGGCATCAACACGAAAAAGTAATGTGGAATACGGTATGTAAATGTTCTGTCAGAGTTTGGTCCTGGAAGACAAGATCCTGTTGGTTGTTCACTGCCCTAGTCCAATTAGATGCAGTCTGACAAACAGAAACTGCACCAATAGATGGCTGCAGAGCTGGATTGCAAGAGCAAAGAGGGTCACAAATCTTGTCAGCAGAATCCTTAAGTGAGGGAACATCTTCTATAGGGACAGTAAGTTGTATGTTTATGACTAAGACAGCAGGTTCTACTACTACAAGTAGAACAGCCCACTTTTTGTGAATACTTTGTCCACTGGATAGAGCTCGGGAATGATTCCCAAAGGAGTGAAAATCTTTTCCGGACTACCCCAAACATCACACATTGCCCATTCTTTTTGTTCATGGATGGGGAATGTCTTTTGAGACTTTACAGGTCTCTTAGTATACAACGGGGCATGTTGAGACGGGGCTGTTAGTTCTTCATGAAAGTCTGACATGGTTGCAGAAACATCTGCCTTGGTCAGGTAGACCACTTGCTGCATGCCTGAGATAAAGCTAGAATTGGATACTGAAATTGGTATTAAAATAGGGTTCTCCTTTGATGCATAGGAAACATTGTCACTCTGAGTGGTTTGAGTTTTTTTGCATCCCATCAGCATAGTGAATATTTGCCTGAGCTATTGCTGCGGCTCCTTTACGCCAGGTTTTAGCCAGTGCCATAAATGAGGGTATTCTCCTATGGGGTACTCACGAAGTAGGGTGTGGAAATGGGGTTAGGTGTATCCATAGAAGGATACAAAACAACCCAGTTGTTGACTGGTCCTGTAGCGAAGTCCTCATAGAAAAAGGTGTTTTCAGGGCTTGGGATCCTTTATGCACTGCTTGCCTTGTTATAGTAGAAGGCAGTGGAAAGTTGACTAAAGGGTTGATTAAAGAATTTGAAGTAAAATAAACTAGTTAAGCGTAAAAGAACTTATTCATAAGGGAGTAGAAGTTCATCACCTAAACACAGTAGCAAGAGTGGGATGGGGTTATAGGAGTACACCCAGAGTGCGTACACAGAAGAGCTTTGCCCGCATCCAATCACCGGAGGGGAGTAGTCTATAACCCAGGATCCAGCCTGTGCCATTTAATAAAGATGTAATAATAAAGATGTAAAAAAAACAAAACAAAACACGGAAGGGGTGGATCGGAGAACTGACTGTAGAGAAAGAGAAAGGGCGTAAGCATGAAGCACAAGAGTTTTACTGTGCCATGAAATAAATCACATTCTTGGTACAGTATTCTATCTTAGGTAAATATTTTACCCTCTGTTTTTGTTCTTCAGTGCGGACATCACTACGAACATTAGCCCAAGGTATGTCATCTGGCCACCAGATAGGTTTACAGCTTTCTTTGCCCCAGCCTGGTTTACCTCGACCTGTGGAGTACTTCAGCATCTCTGGAATAAATGCACGTAACTGGGCCTAGAAGCAAAAAGGAATGAAAAAGTAAGAGATTAGGAAAAATGCTTAACCGAGTGAACATGATTTCTCTGTAAATTAGTTGTATATCCTAACTGAATACATTGCAATTTCCTAAAGCACTCTGTAAAGGCATTATTGCTATTTTTGTAAACAAAAAACATTTGGCAATGTTTTCAACCTTTGTTGAATCAGTGCTGCTGATCTTCTACAGCCTCTTTGCAGCCACTCCCGTCTATATGTATGTACTCTGGCTACAGTTTTCTGCATGTCATTTTATCTGGGAAGATTACCAGATAGTGATAACCATTGACAAAACCTGTGTAACATGCTGAAATAGCCACTTGTTCCTTTCAGAATTAGGTGATGTCCTTCATTTGCCATTCTCATAGGCCACATATTCTGACGACAACTATGCACTTCCTCCAATGTCAGGGCAGCCTAGAGGACCACAACTTTGAGCTGCTTGGGAATACTTAGATAGCTTTGTTGACTGCCCTGTATGGGTGGACTTGGAATCCCCTTCTTGTGGCTGCATCAGCTTATGATCCCCACTCTGGATTCCATTCCATATGTGACAAGTTTGACAACCAATGCTCAGTCTATTACTGCTATACATTTTGCGCATTTGGGCCGTTATCAAATACTACAGCTTCACGGCTCCCCTCCTCCTACTTCCTCTGGTAGATAACCCACTTTTCCCTAATGGACTGGATTCTTCAGCAGCCTTCTGGTGGACCCAACACCTCAACCTCTTCTCTCCTCAAAAGGGGAAAAGTCATTCCGTGGCTTATTCTCAGGGAATGCTTTGAGGTGTTCCCCACTGAATTGTTTATATACACTCAACTCCACCACTGGGTAGCTTCCCTCATCTGTGACTCTCCCCTCTCCTGATTGTCTTTGAACTCATCTGTGACTCTTCCCTCTTCGGATTGTCTTTGAACATATATGCCATCACACACCAGTAGCACCTAAACTAATTTCTACACTTTACTCACATCTTAAACACCTCTCTTCCCCTGCTAGGCTTGCCTACGTGGCGAGGTGGGAGGCAGATCTCACAGCTCATAAAATAGAGGAAGAATAGTCCTGCATGTGGTCGACCATCGCAACTTGCACTATTATTGTTACCACACTCACGTTGTCCTATAAGGTTTTGACCAGGTGGTATATGCTACCAACCAGATTCACCCACAAAATCCCTGGCCATTCTGGTACATGCTTTAAGGCTTGCCAAACAGCAGGGGATGTTCTCCATAAGTGGTGGACCTGCCCAATGCTAGGCTGCTTCTGGTCAAAAGTAGTTGTCCTCTTTTGCAAACTATTCAGGGTTCAATTACCCAGAGACCCATGGTTTGCACTCCTACATATTAAGCCTACAAATCTCACTAAAAATCAATTAAAATTGGCGCATTTCATACTCCTAGCCTGAAAATGATCAAACGCCAAAGCTTGCATTAAGCCGTTCACCAGCTTCTCTAAAGCCAAAACCAGACTAGATGGCTTATATATCAATGAACACCTGAATAGCACACTTACAAACAGTCACAAAATGTTTGACAAGATCTGGAACCCTTGTGTTGCCTATTGCCACCCTCACCTGCTTTCATGACATTTGCCTCCTTTGCCCTTCCTTTTATTGCCTCCTTGTCATGACATGACCCCTGCGCTAGGTTCCTCTTCCCTTCTCCCCTTCTTACTCTCTTCTACTACAGGCATTAATCCTTCTTTCCTGACTCCCCCTGCCTCTTTTTACCCTATTTTGTTTGCCTTTTCCTCGCTCAGTTGTTTCCTAGCTGACCGTACGGGTCTATTTTTTCAAGCATGTGATGTGTTATGTAGTATTGAGATCCTCTGTTCTGATTTGATCACTATCAAAAAAGTCCAGGGTGCGCTGCAGACACAACGCGGACTGTTTGCTCTGTAAAACTTGCACATTCATTAAAAACATTAAGCTTGAAAAAAACCACTTATAGTTTCCATCACAATGACATTACTCCACTGGTGGAGAAAATGTTCAGCCTGTTTAAGTGGCTGCATTGTCACAATGATATTCTCTATAAGCAAGACACCTGACAGTACTGGCCCTTCTCAAGCATTGCAGAGGGAGCGGATCCCAGGAGCATCCTCCACCCACCAGAGGGGATGCTGGGATGACCTGAAATAAAGCTACTTAAAAAGACAATTAGACTTGCTTACCCCAGGACAGCACCTGAGAACAGCACTCAATTCATCTGCAGCTTCTCCACCTAGGCTAGAGGAAACACGAATACTTATGGGTCTGGCTGGAAGTGGCCTTTTAAAAGACCGTGCGTTGCAATGTTTCTCGAGCTGCTGTCCTGACAGACGCTTTTGGGAAAATTTTCCCTGATGCATCTGTGCAAACAAAAAAAAAAAAAAAACTCCCACCCGGGACTTGGTTATAAATATAGGAGGAAACATTTTAGTCTTTCACCATTAAACAGGTACATTTCCAGTACTTTGTGTGTACATAACTCTGTTAGCTGGCCTGAACACTTCTCCAGCTTACCACCAATATGTAAAACGGCAGGTTGGTTGTAAAACTTAAATATGCTCTGCTGTCTTATTTCAGCAGCTTTGAGCGCTCAAGTTATTACACACAATTCGTAATCTTTTTTCAGACTCTTTATCCACTTCCTGACTGTCCGCCTGCACTGTACTGCAGACGGGTGGCCACTGTAGGCAAAGTCACATACCTGTACATCACTGCCTACTTCCGGGTTTAGGGCGTGTGCATGCACACACTCCAGCCAGTACCCGCTGTGTACAATGATTCATGGCCGGGACCTGCTGACTGGCTGTGTACAATCACAGCTCAGAGCTCTGTGTTGACAATCAACACAAAGCTCTGTACAGGGAGAACAATCTTGATTGCCCTAGATGCGAACTCCTTCCCAGCCAGTGTCATTAGTACAGTTACAGTGTACAACATCATTTAGTACCAGACTGCCCACCGTACTATCGCAGTCTTATTATAAGTCACTGATCACCATTAGATACACACACACTATTTTTCGCTCCATAAGAAGCACTTTTCCCCCCCAAAAAATGGGGGAAATGTCTGTGCGTCTTATGGAGCAAAAATGGAGTTGTTGGCCCGTATTCCCCCCCGTCACCGCCGCGTTAGGATACCGGGCTGGACGCTCGGCTCTACTGTGCAGAAGAACCCGCTTCTCAGTCCTACCTGTTCCTCAGTCTAGCGGTGTCCTGCTTCCATCAGCCGTCATCTCTCCCTGGCGCCAGCATCTTCAGTGTGGGCACTCAGCTGTGACAGCTTTCAGCCTAACAGCCGGGTGCCCACTGCGCATGCATGAGAAGCGCTGCGCTTTGTGACTGGCCCCATAGTCTTGTGGGACATGTCACATGTCCCACAAGACTACGGGGAGGGAGGGGTGGGGGAGGGGGGGGGAGGACAACTCCACAGAAGTGGGAACCTGTCAAATTCGGGTACCGGCCCCCTCCCCCAAGGTCTGCAGTCTCTGGTCATCTCCTGTACTATGTCCGCAGTCTCTGGTCATCTCCTGTACTATGTCCGCAGTCCACTGGTTCAGAATTTTTATTTTCTTGTTTTCCTCCTCTAAAATCTAGGTGCATCTTATGGAGCGAAAAAATACGGTGTATGTATATATAAACAAAACAATTCCATATACACACACACACACACACACACACACACACACACACACCATAGTTGGTAGGAGTTATTTTTTTACGCAAACCAATCTTTATACAATTATTGGGATTTTTTTTTATTCATCAAAAACATGTAGCAGAATACATTTTGGCCTAAATTTATAAAGAATTTTTTTTTCATTTTTTACTGAACATGTTTTATAGCAGAAAGTGAAAAGTATGGTTTTATTTTTTTCAACATTTTCGGTCTTTTTTCATTTATAAAATAAAACCCAGTGATGATCAAATACCACCAAAAGAAAGTTCTATTTCTGTGAGAAAAAAGGATTACCAGTTAAAATAGCAAAGTGCTAAATAGCAAAAAAAATTCTGATCATGAAGGGGTAAAATCTTACAGATGGTTATACAAGGTATTTTAAAACATTATAAAAGACAATGGGCTGTGAGAATAAGGCATTTGACATAACCACAAAACAATGGTTTATAATGCAAACCTAGTCAAATTCATCAGTACTATTAACATTCCATGTTATATACAAGCCTGCCACATGCACATTATTCCCTGATTCTGGCTGGTGTAACCTTGCTCCCTAAGGTAACCGAGGAAGTGCAAGACTGTGGAAAGATTGCACAGCAGCATCATCTGGTTTGCAGCATATATGCATATTTTTATATATTTTTTTGCTTCTCATATCTAAAGGCTGTGGAATTTTTGCACAGTGGTATTCAAATTACAAACATAGGATAGCATAGGATCAAATAAAAACAAAAAACAAAATACAAAGAAAAAACTGTAACATTAATTTTTTAGGTGAATGCAAACAATTCCAAAATAATGTCTGCATGCAAGAAACATGGGTTTAACCACACTGGTATAGGGGATAGTGGTTGCAAGTCAATGCTCACCATCAGGCAAAAATAAACAAGATTAGTTGCTAAATATCAAAATTAGTAAAGAACTGAATGAGCATCTCTATGACAAAGTCTCTACAAAAAGTACATTGCGAGTATCTTACAAACATATGTAGAATCCAAAACCGTATTCAGGGTGTAACAAGTTACTGCTGTGTCCCCCCCCCAAGTCTGCTGCCACAATTTAGAAAAGACACGGACGCATTACTCATTCACAGTATTCTGTGAATGGAAAACCACAACTACTGACAGCCTTTGTGGCTGATGGGTTGTAGTTCTCAATGGACGATTTTGCTTGAAGTTTCTTATACTATTCTCCATATACTTACAAAATGTAACTAGTAAGACAGACCACAGAAGGAGAAAAAAATGTCTTACTTGCTCAATTTAACCATCAACACAGTCAGTGTTGATGGGGGAATCTCACCCGTGGAGCC